CACGAAGAAGGTGAGAGCAGATTAACAGGTCAGGATGGAGGTTGAGCTGAAGAGAAGGGAGGGGGCTCGTTCCCAACACTGAGCTATGCATGGCATTTCAACATGAGGAGTCTGATTGCAGTTGTGGTGTGAGTTTTTCTTGTCTGACTCCATGCTTTCCTAGAATAGGTGGATTATTCTGAAGCAGCAAACTAAAAGGGTTCCATGTTATTAAGTTTTCAGAGACCTAGAACAGAGTTTTTGTAATGTGAGGTAAAGCTAACATGCCCTGGTGTATATGCATGCTAGTTAAAAGGTACAGTCGTGCTATGGCTGCCTTCATCCCCAAACTGAGAGGCCAAGCTGGTGACCTTGAGAGCTAAAAGACTGTTGCTACATTGTCAGCAGCACTAAAAGGTTTGTAGCTCTTGGAGTGAACCACACACTAAGAATTGCTCCTACTGGACACCATTTGGTTTTCCTGTGATTCTGCTGTAACTCAGGGTATTCAGGGAAAAAAAAGATCCTGTTCCTGCAATGCTGCCACATACCAAGCTTTTAGGCTGGGCCTTCAGCAAGTAAAAATCATCTCAAGTTGCATTGTCACAGGAGTTGTTGTCCCTGTCCTTGTCTTTGGCTATTGAGGTGGATTCAGCATTGTTTTAACACCTAGTTCAGCATCTTCCTTTCTTAAATTTCCACTCGCTTTTTGTTCACTGCATCTGTCTTTAGCACCTTTCCATTAACAGGATCTCAGATGACCACCTTAGTTTCTTGCAGGGTGCCTGTGCACAGACTGTCTTCCTTTCCTTTCCTCTATCAGACTTCTTGCTGGAGGGAATAGGGACCCACATCCATCTCTGCTAGGCACTTATGAGGGTGGTATATGTTAGAGAGCCATCTCCAAGACCTGCTTCTACTTAAAAGGCATGGTCATGCTCTGTGTGTGCACATTGGACAGACATGAACTGTTTTGGGTCAAAGTTTGAGGATAAGCTCTTTAGGACCAGGTGAGAATGAGATACTACTCACAAACTAATAATAAATATACAAAGCAATGATTATTTTATCTGTTGTTCTGAAAGGGGGGGCACAGACCTTGGCAGTAAGGGTTAAAAAGCCTACCTGGCTCAGTGCTTTTCATTCTGTGTAGATGGATTCGCTGCCACTTTACCAGTCTTTGCCCCTCCCTCCTCTGGAGAATTAAAATACACCTCCCCACATAATGCAAGCAGGCACACAAGCTGTCCAGGAGCACAGACCAACTCCCCAAACTACTAAATCACATTTGCTGCCGCTTCTGTGCATGCAGGAGGGAAAGTAATTACCAGGCTTGGAGAGAGCTTAATAGGAAGGGGGCAAGACTTTTAATAGTATTTTTCTGTGTAAGCACAAACATCCCCAAAAGCTGTGGCTGAGTTATAGGAATACAGTAAGCTTGCTGAGTAGGCAACTGCTGTGTCAACAGGTAAAAGCTCTCAGTCCTGATAGTTTGTGAGCAGGGAAAGCGATCCATCAGCCCGGGCCTCACAAAGATAACTCCTGAGTTACTGCAAGGTGGGAAGAGCAGCTGAGAGGGAGCTGGAAGGGGGAAAGCTGCTGGCTACCAAGAAGACTTTAAGTAAGGGGAATGCTAACTGCTGGGGTGAATTTTCAAAACCCTCCATTTTGGATTACCGTGTATCTTTAAGCCTGTTGCTGCCTTTCACCCAACCTGGAAATGCAACTCGAGATAATTTTAGTAATGAAGTAATATAAAAGATGATTTTTATTTGAAGGCCTTTAGGAGCAGTTATGGAAAGCTGTCCACAAAAGCTCACTCCCCCCCAGGGGTAAGTACACATTTATAGGTTTTAGAAAATTAGCATAACTGATAAAAAGCCCCAATTAGGAGGACAAGTGGTGGTGCAATTCCGCCCCAGGTCAAACCCCTTCTCAGGAGCCCCCTCTTCAGCACCAGTTGTGCCTTGTCCATGAAAATGTATCTCAAAGAGCTGTTCTCAGCCTTGGTTCCCAGGAACAACCAAGATAGCACTGGGCCTTGTACCTCCTGGGGCTTGGAGCTCTGGAATGTGCTTTGTCTTTCTGCTTAGGGAAAGACCATGGAAAAGTACTGGGAGAACTAGCCACTAATACAGAGGGTGACAGAGTTACAAATATATGTGTGAAAAATACAGAGAGCATAGAAAAAAAGGCAAAACCCAAATGGCATCACCGTGAATCACCTGATTTTCAGCATGAGTTGGGCCTTTGATGTTTTTGAATTCCCACCCTTAATCTCTGGGCAAGCTCTGGTACAGCAGGTGCTGAGCTCTGGGCATGTGCAATTAGTCCAGACTGACTTGTCTGCCTGCAGTAACATTAACCACAGTTGTTACCTTTCCTAGAGACAGAAATCCAGCTGCTCTCAGTGTGACTCCTCGTGTGCTTGAAATGATGCAGCCTGCTGAATCAAGAAGCTGATCACTTGGGCCCTAATCCTGCAAATATTTACCCATGGGCTTTAGCTCTGTTACTGGAATAGTCCAGTTGACTTTGGGAGATGACACGTATTAGCAGTGCTGAGCACTTGCATAAGGCTTGGCAGGACCATAGCTCTGGTCCTTTTCAGATTCCCATCCATTAAATGAGTTAATACCCTGATAGGGTCCCTTTCTCTGGAAAGGTTTGGGTTTGGGGTCACTTACTTATTTAATCAAACAGTTATACTTGAAATTTTTATTGTAACCAAGGAGCTTTAACACTTTGAAGGAGAAAACTTCCCATGGTCCCTGCTTTGACAAGCCCTCAATCAAACTGGAGAAAAATATGCCCATACTAAAACAATAAATAGCACAGATTACACAGAAAATTACCCTTCCAGTTCTACAGCTCAACCTTCTCATGTCAATTGTCAGCTGAGAGCAAGTATTTCCAGTTCAGCAGCTCAGCCACTTAGATCAGGAAGGGACTGTAAAAGAACAGTTAGACCTTATCAGTTGTCAGAAAACTCTTTAGTGTCTTGATTTTTCTTTATAAAATGTAATAACTGTCAGAGATAAAGAATATATCTCTCTTCCCAACTGGCAGCCAAGGGTAGCTGCAAAGGGCAAGCAGCACGGATACTCATAAATGTGTGATTACAGGCCTTTCTACTGATGGAGAGGGAAATATTGATGCAATATTCGTCATTTTTATTGGCTTAATATTCTTCTTTCATAGCAGCATATCCAAACTGCTACATCTTTCTTCACACACAGTCATTGTCCATCTAAGATGCACTGCTGCTCTTTCCATTTCTAACCCAGCACTCTCCAGCTCCTTGCGAAAGGCCAGAACATGAGGGTTTGCTGTTGTACGTTTTCCTTGTCGATCCATCCCTGCCCCTGGAAGGATTGCTTTCCAACTGCTATGCAATAGCTCCCTCTCCTTCTCTATCATCTGCCCTGTTTCAAGTGACAGTCTTTCAGGATGGCAGGGGCCTCTTGAGACGTGTTTTTCACTGTGAGTAGAACAATGTGGTCTTCTGTCCTCCTCAGGGCATACCAGGATCTCATGATGATAGCCCAGGGAAAGTCTGTGTCATGGGAACTTGCTTGTGAATGCAGCAACCCAAGGTGTTCTTTAAAGGGAAAAGAAAATAGATTTTCAACCCTGAGTCTTGGGATACAGGTGGTGATTGCTGACAGAGAGACTTTGGGATGGGCAAGTTGAAGGGAACTCACCGGTGCTCCTTTAGGACTGTGAAAAAAAAAATAAGGCAGACAATATCCTTGGAACGAAACTGTTTTCAGTGTCTGCTTGACCTTCTTTTGGGCAAGAAGCAATGCTGAGACCAGGGAACAAACTGAGAACATCACAGACTGAGGCCAGATTAATCAGCTATTCCCTGGACTGGACTAGCCAGACTGAGAGAATGGAGAGGATGCTCCATGGGAAAGAGTTCTCTCTCTGTTTAAAGTACTCACTCATGAAGTTAAGATTCCTTTTTCTCCATGGCATTTCCGTTCCTGTTGGGGCTGTTTCCACCATTAAGCCTAATTACTTAGCTTTTTATGTGCTATCCATTTCTTTTCATCATTTTAAAAACTTCAGTTGCCATAACAACATAATGCAATCAGTGAAACATAACAGCTATTTTCTGTAGTCAAGGTCTGTGCACTGTCAAGGATGTGAGCCATTTAAGCAAATCTTCACCATCCCCCTTCCTCCCTCCTCTTTCTCACTCTCTCTTTTTCTCCCTAAACAAGCTCATAACAGGAAGAAGAAACCATGAGGAATAATTAGACACAATAGCAGAGCAAATCCCAATTGTACTCATGCAGTCTTGTCTAATGAACTTCCAGCACTAATCTTGGAAGTGTTGATGTGCCTTTTTAATCACTTTTTTGATGTCATAGATAGATTAGTTGCAGCAGGACCTTGATAATCTACACTGGAGTCAGGAGACTCAGAGCCTGTTCAATCTGGAAAGGGAAGAAAATCAAAAGCATTGCATACTTTGTTAATTTCTTTCTCATTTGTTCCTCATTTTTAAATGCTTATTGAGAATATATGTCCATTGTACCATATTAGTAAATAGAATGGTGTGTGTTTTGTAGATTCATGGAATTTAAGCATGAAAAGTCATAGCATCTATTATTGAATCATTGCTGAAAGGCTGGGAGAAACTGCCACGTTTTTGTGTGGGTGGTGAGACTTGCAACAAAGCATAGTATAACTGCTGGGCTTCTACTGCACACATACATAAAAAGCAGTCTGAAAATAAATCTGGCAGTCTGGTTCAGTGCTATTCTAAGCAGTGTGAATATAAGATCTATCCACAATGTCTTACTCACTCCTTGACCTCCATGAAGGCTTTCCTGGAATAGTAACGAGGGAGTTCTGAAGCCCAGGATTTGGCTTAAGCAGCCTCTCTCTGGCAGAGGACTGAAGGCTGTGCTTTGCCCTTACGGAGCTCGTTTGCCACGGGCAGAGCCTTCTAATGGTGTCAAGTCGATCATTGTCTGTTCACTCTTTCCACTTGTCTGCTTGTATTGCAGCACCTTGTCCAAGCAAAGGAAGAATGTCATCAGCTGTGTCACCGTGCATGACTCCCCCTACTCCGATTCCTCCAGCAACAACAGCCCTTACGCCGTGCAACATCGCACAGGGCAGAATAATGGGAACAGCTACGACACCAAAGGGGTTCCAGAGACTCACTGCAGTGGGAACCCCCGAACGATCATCGTGCCACCACTGAAAACCCAGGCCAGTGAGGTGTTGGTAGAGTGCGATAGCCTGGCACCAGGTAAATTGCACCTCGTCCGTCAAGAAAATTAGTAAGAAATAAATGATTTATCTTGGAAGAATCTCATTGTTCAGTTTCATTTTGTTTGTTTGGTTGGTTTGTTTTCCAAAGAAACTGTGCTCCTGCACTTCTCTCAAGTGACACATCTGTTCTTGGTAGCCATATCGCATTATTTATGTGCCCTGGTTCACGCAGGAATTGTGGGGCAAGTGTCGGTCCCAGTTAGTTCTGTACAAACCCAAGAACAGGATGCAGCCTTTAGCTCAACATTTGACATGAAAGGCACACAAATGCAAGTGTGAACCTTTGCTGCCTTGCCTTTCCATAGGCTTTCTTTAAAGTGGGTAAGCGATTGAAAACACGTGTGAGTTTTCATCCAAACTTGTTGACATTTCTGGGAGGAACGATCCCCAGGATCTTCATTGTGGACTGCTGAGGTTTGCTCATCCAGAACCTCTGCAATGCTAGATAGTGTGCTGTGTTGAAAAGGGTTTTATGGTGGAAGTCTGGCCCAAAGCAGTTGCCTTTGAGCTACTTGGCAGTCCTTGCTTTGGATGCACTGCTGGTGAACACAAAGGCTTGAAGGGTGAGCTCCCTATCAGCTCCTTCTCCCTCCCTTCCCACTCACCTGACATTAGGCAAGCCAGGGCTTTTTTAGGCTGTGCACACCGTACTTTCCTTCCTCTCCTTGGGATTTGTACCTGCGTTGTACGTTGTTCTGCGGGCAGAACATTGTCTCATGGTTCTGAAGGATCTATAAAGCCTACTCCAGACCTGCTTTGGGTCAAGTTAATCAGGTCTGCTGGTCTGCCTCTAGGATAACAGGCTGGTCATGTGTATCAAGCCCTGCTGAGGTATTCTGTTAATTGAGAGAAACAGTTTTCTTAACCTGCTTCTATTGTATGTCTCCTCCCAAAAGCCACTCTGGAGGAGACTCGGTGAGGAAAAGGTAGGGTGAGCAATTAAACAATGTCATGTAAGCTACAAATGTGTTTCCTTTCCTGGCACAGTCACCACCAGTCACCACTCATCCTCCTACAAGTCCAAGTCCTCCAGCACCGTGACCTCCACCAGCGGTCACTCTTCAGGGAGCTCGTCTGGAGCCGTTGCCTATAGGCAGCAGCGACCAGGAGCACATTTCCAGCAGCAGCAGCCTCTTAATCTAAGTCAGGTAAGTCAACCAAGACTGGTTTTGGTGGTGCATCATCCAGCTGTTACCTACCACTCCTCCACAATGGGCTGTCCTGTTCCAGTCTAGGGATAGTCGGATCCTGTGTTGTGTTTGATCAACTTGTTTCTACTTGACTGCAGACCTTGATCTTCCAGCTCAGGCAGCAGGGGATAGTGCAGATCACACCCCTGAGTGTGCTAGGGGTACTCTTCCTGTGTGTTCTGAGGTCTGATGGTCTAGTAGTGTGAGTGGAAATAATGTGAGAGGGGAAATGCAGTGGCTCAGCCACAACAGTGGAGCAGGAGCATGTAGGAAGGACTGAATTCTCCTTAGCTGTAAGCAACCATGGGAAGAATGTCTTCCAAGTGAAGAGAGTGCATGAGCCTGGCTGTGGGACTGGGAGAGAAGTCTCCATCAGGTGGGACAAGGCAAAGCAGAACCTCTATGTAAATAGAGCTCATGTAATGAGCTTGATTCACCCTGTGATAAAGCTGGGCTGAGATCTGGACAAATCCCATTACTTGGCAGCATGAAGGTCTTGGGACGTTTCCCAGTCTGTGATCAGAACTCGCAGGGACCTCCCCCAGAGCTGCAGGAAATAATGCCCTTTTCACATCCTGCACCTGGGGCCTCTGTCTTCCCTGCTGAGAAAAGTAGGGAAGTTCCAGCTCAGTTACCAGTGTTTCAAGAGGAGAAAGTCTGGAGAGCTCAGAGGACAGTGCTGGTATGCACCCAGAGCTGAATGTAAGCAGAACTGTTTAAAAGGAAAAATAGCCTGGTGGAGACGAATGTCTGTTCTCCTTTAATATGCAGAGGAGATTTTAAAATGTGAACAAATTTGAAATAAAAGTGTTTGAAAATGGAGGAAGTGGGCAAGATGCTCTTTGGAAGAGTTGTGGGGGGGTGTGGCTACCTTATTTCCACAATAACAGAGAGTTAGACACAGAGAGTGCTTACAAAAAGGATGAAAACGTTTGGAAGAATAGAAGGAAATAGCATGGAGCATTTTCCTTCTTGTCTTCTAATTCCTGCTTTGTAAGTAATATAATACTATGACTACAAATGACTGGGAAAACTCCTTACATTTTTGTGCAATGCAAGAAAACAACTTAGAAAATCCCAGGGGGAAAAAAGTACATTGGTCCATCCCACTGCTAGAAGTTTTCCTGTGCTCAGGTAATTTTAGCTGATGACAATGAGGGCACCAGGCACCTGCAGGATCTAATCAAGCTGAGGATTTTCTCTTTAAAAAATAACCTGGTTATTTTTACTAACCAAGGAAATCATTAACTGCAAATACCCAAACTGAGCAAAAATAAATTGCCTGTTCCAGGCATAGTTAGGCAATTTCACTGCCCTGAGCTATCTGTGCACCGCAGTTTGTCATCAGAGAGTTCACTAAGAGAAACCACTTATTGCCTGAGCAACTGGACTGGAGGAAGATGTTCCTGGGAACTGGGTATCCAAGGTTGTGTCTTTCGGTAGCTGTGTCAGCAGGTTGTAGCTCAAACCTGGGGCCTTGCTGACCTTCTTGGGGTCCTTTTGGTCAATGGATGAAACAACAGGGTCTTTGTAGGCTTGTGAGGGACCCACTGCTGTCACTCCTTTCCAAGGGAAGACTGGCAATGCTGAGGGTGTCAGGAGGAGCTCAGGAGACTTTTCTGAGGTTGTCCTGGTATTGCAGGGAGGCTCCGAGACACTAGTGAGGAGATAAAGAGCCATCTCTTGTCTTGTAACTGCCTATCACTGTTGCTGTCTTTATCCAGGGCCAGCAGCACATCTCGACCGACCGCACAGGGAGTCACCGGAGACAGCAAGCCTACATCACTCCAACGATAGCTCAGGCCCCGTACTCTTTCCCGCACAATAGCCCCAGCCACGGTACGGTTCATCCCCACCTGGCCGCGGCTGCCGCTGCTCACCTGCCCACCCAGCCCCACCTGTACACATACACCGCCCCCGCCGCCCTGGGCTCCACGGGCACCGTCGCGCACCTGGTGGCCTCGCAAGGCTCCGCCCGGCACGCGGTGCAGCACACCACCTACCCCGCCAGCATCGTCCACCAGGTCCCCGTCAGCATGGGCCCGCGCGTCCTGCCCTCGCCCACCATCCACCCGAGTCAGTACCAGGCTCAGTTTGCCCATCAGACCTATATCAGTGCTTCTCCAGCCTCCACAGTCTACACTGGATACCCACTGAGCCCCACCAAGGTCAACCAGTACCCTTACATCTAAACACTGGAATAAAGAGCGAGAGACGCACCCATCCCGGGGGGAATGAGGCAGCCGCTTTTGTATTGAAGAACATGACAAACTAACAATGCAATGGGAGGCTCGTGTGAAACTTGAACAAAGGAGACTTTAGGAAGAAAAGAAAAAGAGGAAAGAAGGGGGAAAACCAATTCTACAATTTTTATTTAAAAAAAAAAAAAAGAAAATGGAAAAAAGAACAGAAAAAAAATAAACCACAAAAAACCCAACCATTCTGCACCAAACTAGAGAGAAAGAGAGAAGGAGAAGGACCCTCCAGCGGGTCCTGTCTTTTGAAGAACTTCACCAACAGACTTTTAAAGGTTATTTTCATCCAATAGTGAGCTACATTTAGAAATTTGTTGTCCAGAACACCTAAAATTAAATCCGTTAGGTTTTTAATCCTGTAGGTATATGGATTAGGGATTTATCCAGCATTTCAAAGGGTTTAAACAGTGGTTTTTGTATCCCAAAGTATATATAGATTCGGGGGGATTTGTAATGGAAAAAGAAAATGGGTAAGGGAGGCTGAGGGTGGAGGACAAAACATTGTCCCAGTGCTCTAAATTTGGACGTAACACTGCTACACTTAAACACACCTGGGCAAAATAGGCCATGCAGCACTGGTTGAGAGCGGAAGCAATGGGAATGTTTCTCCCTCTACTTGAACACACTGGATAAATCCCTGAGAAATGCTATTCCTAAACAAGATCTCTAATAATGTATGTTGGATTTCAGTTGCTTTTTTTTTTTTAGGGTTTTTTGTTTTGGTTTGGTTTGGGTTTTTTTTGGAAGTGCTCCTTTTCAATCCCTAGCCATTTTAGTATAGGAGGAGACATTTTAGCTGCCCCCAACCCCCTGCCCCCAGCCCCGGTAGAATGTAGCACTATACAGGTCATACCCCTTTTTACTCTTTTATGTTGAACTTCAACGATACCAATAGACTATTCCTCAATGTGATTGCACAAAGAAAAGTGATATAACATAGGCATGTAACAATGTGATTGTCCAGGTGTGTGTGTGTGTGTGTGAGTGCAGATGCTGCCTTCTCTCTGTGGTGTGTTCCTCGGCACAGCCATTACAACTGTCACAGTCTTAGTTTTACATCATTCCCTCGTAGTGCCTTACCAAACTACAGACGCGGTTTAAGGGTTTACTTCCACTGGTACTCCTAGAAACTGACTGAGGCTAGTCGGAATTTACTCTCAGCTCTTTTTCTTTCTTTTTCTTCTTCTTCTTTTTTTGTTTTGTTTTGTTTTGGTTTTTTTGTTTTGTTTTTTTTCGGTTGTTACTGCCGATTTTCTCCTGCTGGTGGTGTTAGGTTTTTTTCCCACGTCGTCAATCGTAGCTCACTTGGCGAGGTGTTGGGGAGGCTCGTTGGGGTCCGAAGTGCATATAACTGGGTGTTTTGTCAAGCACTGGATGGGCTAGAAGCAACCAGGTCAGCTGTGAGGACCCAGAGGGTCTGGGGACTCATTTGTGGACTGGTCTGTTTTTGTCCTGTTGAAATAGCAGGTTTCCTCCCTGGAAACTTAATTCTCATTCTGCTGTTTGCCGATGTTCTTGATGGAGTGGGAGTAGAGTGTCCACCCTCGTCATCAGGTTGTCCTGGTCATGTGTTTGAAATGGGAACAAAAATTTAGTCCTTGATAGGGGGAAACACTAGTTTTTGCCAACATCTCTCACTGTATCTGTTAATGAGAAAGGGTCATGAAAGGACTGGAGTCCCAAAGCAAACATGAGAAAATCCAGTTGAGAGAGTCAATCTCAGGTTTCTTAAGTGAAAAGAGTATTGTAATACATAGAGCCTTACCCACTCTAACATAGCTGTGACACTGTGTGCCTCCCCTGCTCTCTTTTCACCTACACCCTGAAAAACTGCCTGCAGTGGCAGAGTGACCCTGGAACTGGAGAGCAGGTTGGTCCTCCACACCAAGGAATGCTACATGGTCATTTTGTTTTCCAACAGTTTCTACAGAGAGCCTTTCCTGTCACTGGTTTTGTTCAGCGGGGAGTTTCCCTGGTAATTGCACTTGCACTGGTGCATCAGTACCATCATGCCTGTGGATGTCCTGAGGAGGAAGGAGAGAAAGGAATTTGATAGAACGTTTCCATGAAAGCTGAAGTCTATGGGACTGCTCGGTTCCACTCTACATTTCCTTGTAACTAGAGCATGAAGTAATCAGGTGTTTTGCAAGATGCTGGAAAATAGCAGGTTTGTTGGCAGGGTGGTGAGGGATGGGTTCCCTGAGTGGCAGTGAGGAAGAAGGCTCTCAGGTTGGAAAAGCTGGTAGGAAGACAAGCACAAATATATTGTTTTGTGGTAAGTGCTTGGCTCGCCTGGAAGATGAAGATCCTGCTTTGCATAGGCTGTTCAGCAAGGCTATTGTCTTCTGGCAAACCACCAAATAACGTTCCTGGTTGCCAGCTCTGGTTCCTGGGCTACTCTTGCACAGTTTTCTTCTCCTGCCTGTCCTTCATTCCAGCTCAATATACTGTAGATGAGGATGCAATCTCCCAGCAGCCTATGCACCTTACCCCTGCTCTTTTGGAAAGACAAGTCCCCTTTCATCTGAGGCAGGAAAAGAAAGCCCTGCTATCTCTCTTGCATTCCTCTCCTCTCTCACCAGTTTGGGAGCGAGAGCGCCATGCTGCTTTTGTCATGAAAAGGAAAGATAATGTTATTTTATTGTATGGTTGTTATGATTATGATTATTATTTTATTATTATTATATTTTACTCTGGGTTTTAATTGCACACGCATTCCTTAAACTTTGTGGGTTTTTTTCTCTTATTGTTGTTTTTGTTGTTAATTTTATTTCTCTTCATCAGTGGCATTGGAAGGGTTACTGTGATTGTGAGAACTGCAGGAGGAAGGAGAAATGAGATTATTCCGATGACGAAAACTCTGCCACTGATCTGGGGGAGTGGGACCACTCAGTGAGAGTGGTTACAGCCTTGAGGAACAGGAGTTATCCTCTGGGTCACATCTGCATTTCAGAATAAGTCCAGAAGCATTCATTCAGAGGCCAACACCTGACAGCAGCTAACATAATTATCTGTCAGGAGAGCTGGATCAAAGATAGGTAAGGACCTTAGTGCCCCAGGGTCCAGCTCAACATCCCTTAGTTTGAAAGGATGTTTAGATAAGATTAAGACTTATTCACGCTCCAAGCCATGATCATTGCGCCCTTGCAAAAAACATAAGGCCACACTACATATTAAGGGTTTGGTTTTCCTAAAGGAGGACACAGAGGGATGGCTCTCCAGAAACTGGGCTATCGAGGGAGCAGCAGCAGAGCCGCAAGGGTGGCTCTCAGTCCCATCATTGGATAAGGCACACTGGCACACACTGATGGCATTAGCTGGGTAAAGCATAACTGCAGACTGGGCAGTGTTCCTCATCTGCTCTTCCACTCTCACTGAAGACTAATTAGGTGTCCACAGGCCAGGATGCTTGGTTTGATTTTTTTCTTTGTTCCTGATGTAGATTTTCCCTTCTTCTACATTTATTTCTTGTGGGATTTTGTCATGCTATTCTGGTTGCTACAGTTTAGGTATTTATGGTTTGATTTGCATCCCCTGCTTTTTTAGAATAGGGGGAAGCAGTGACTGAATTTAAATTCCATCGAAAAATTATAGAGACTTCAGCAGAGACTAGAAGTTAATCATGCATTTGAGCACTTTGCAAAAGAACTTCAAGTTAAATATTTGTGTATGTGCTCCTCTGGCCTAAGATTAGCCAGCGTGGAAAGTTGCAATCTCGATCAAAGTAATGTTTTACTTGTATTAATTGCATTTTCCCTGTGTATCCATCTGGCCTGCTCTCCCACATGGGATAAGATCTGATTCTGGAAGTTATTTGGCAGTGGAACTGTTACAACAGCACAGGCTGGCAGAGAGAAGGGTTACGCTGCATGACAGAGGAGCCAGCTTTCAGACTGTCCATCCTGGAGTTGCTGGTCTGCCAGACAGTCGTGGTGATGGGATGCTGATTACAAGAGATGCACAGCACAGCCATTGGATTGCTTTGATGGTGCAACACTGTGTGAGAGCTGTGTTTTCTGCTGGGTATAAGGGAGCTGAGCAACACCTTTTCCCTCACACCTGTATAAGGGAATTGTATGGATGAAGGTGTCGTTGGTCATAGGGGAAACACAGTCAATTCAGCAGAGGAAGTAAAAAGCTTTGCATGCTGTCAGTACCACACACATAATAATAGCCAGCTGGTTTTGCTTGCAGAGTCCTTTGGAGAGGAAATGGGATTGGCATGGTTTGGTTCAGTTGGTGTTCCTTGTGTGCATGTAGTAAATGGTGTGGAAACTTGAGGGGGTAGGAGAATGTTTAGATACTGGAAGTTTTATGAGTGGCTTATGGCTGGCAGAGTGAAAAACTAGTTCTTTTCCCCGTCATGTCCTCTTGCATTCTGCTTGTGCAGGAAGTAAAAGGGAGCACAGACATTGTCTCTCCTCAGGAGGATGTTCTGTTGCCTCCTGTGAGGTCAGAATGCAGTGAGGAGGGTAGAGAACCACTAACAGGAGCAGACTGGAAAACCCAAATGGAAGTGCATCTCACTGTAGAGTGGTCAGATCCAGTCATTTGAGAGTGCAAATTCAGTTGCATCTTCCCTGGCAGGTTTTATCTGCTTGTACCCAACAAACTGGGCTTTGGTAGGTCTCTAAATCTCTCTCTCTAGTAGTTTTGGTGTAATATGTAAAACATTCCAAGAAAGGAACTCTTTTGACTGTGACATTTTTCCTTTTTTTTTTTTATACATTCAAGAGATTGTGTATTGTAATTTGGTTTGAAAGCAATTCCATTAGCAAATTTGAAGGGCAATAAACCTGTTTTTTTCTTTAACCAAAGATACTTTTTTTCTTTTTTTTTTTTTAAGAGAGGAAGAGACTCCCATCTACTCCAAAAATTAAATGAAGCCACGAGTTATGAGCACCAGGCAGTGAGGATACACCATGGAACTCAATCTTTCCATTCACTTATTTATTTTTTTTTTCTCTCTCTCTCTCGAGTTTCTGACATCTTTTCAAGTAGCTAGCTTGATGAGCAGAGAAATTCACACTAAATATTGCTGCTATCCTAAAATGTAGGGGATGTCAAAAATGGTTTTCTTCTCTTGTTATTGTTCATATTGATTTAACTGTTTTAGTGGTGACATTGCAGTGTGCAAATGGTGAGCTGTGTAGTGGGGATAAGCTTCTGGATGCTCTGCATGCTTCTGTAGTGTCTCCTTTGGATTTAGGACACTGATTTTGTTCTGTGGGTTCATAAAATCATAGAATATGCTGAGTTAGAAGGGACCTATCAAGATCAAGTCCAACTCCTGGCCCTGCACAGGACACCCCAAGAATGACACCATGTACCTGAGAGCATTGTTCAAATGCTTCTTGAACTCTGTCAGGCTTGGTGTTGTGACAGCCTCCCTGGGAAGCCTGTTCCAGTGCCCAACCACCCTCAGGGGGAAAAACCTTTTCCTGATACCCCAAACAGTGATGCCGTGGTCAGGCCAGACACAGCTGGGCAAGGGTGTTGGACTTAGACTTGTGTTCTTCCATGGCTTTGTAATCATTAGAGATCTTCAGTGCTACTTGTGGGCCAAATCCTGGATACCTGTATGCAAGGTCTGCCGTGGGTAGGCAATACAGACAGGAAAGGTGTGGGAAGGGAATGTGTTCCCTCCTCCTGTTAACATAGCAATGTCCCTGACATTGGTCCCATTTGATGTGTGAGCTTCAAAGCAGTTGATCTGAGGTCCTGGGCACTTATCTATGTCACCCTCCTGGTGCTCCTATGAGAAGGACCTGTGTCCAAGGTACCTGGAATCCCCAGCTTACTTCTCAAGGCCCACTTCTGTGCCTACAAATCATTTTTCTCCCTCCAGACATAGGGAGGAGATGGTTCTCTGCTGCTGAGGTTCCTCCACTGCCATACTCCAATAAAGCTGCCTCTGATGACGGTGACAATTTCACCCTGGGTTGAAGATGGTAAGTGAGGTGCTCAAAGAAATGGTGCCAGTCCTGTTGTTAGTGGCTGTGCATAGACTCCTTGCAGGACTACTGCACTGGATAAGAGGAGCTGGGCTTTCCAGGCTGGTCTCCATCCCTCTTCCATCCTCACCACTAGCTGCGTGCATATTGCTGTGGTGCCACCATGCCCACCAGGCGCCCCAGGCACACAGCAAGACCCACAGCAGGGGTGGCCCCTAGAAGGAAGGCCTGGCAGCGTGCAGAGGAGCTCTGCTCACAAAGACTCTGCGCTCGAGGGCTCCTTGTCCCCTGTGACAAATGTGATCGCTGTGAGGGACCCCAGAGGCAGTGGTTACCTGTGAGGAGCTGCTGATGCAGGTGGAGGTGTGAGAACCAGTTTGGAGGCAAACTGAGCTGAGTTCTGCACGTGTCAAATGCTTTCAGTGGGAAGATGTGGTTTTAGAGCATTTGTGTGTGTTGAGAGTGAAATTTGAACGATAGATTGGCTTGGTTCTTCAGAAGTCTTAGGAAGCATACTAGGAGGTTTTGCATTCGGCATTTGTGGTTTGAAACTCCTGTTTCTCATTTACGGGTTAGCTTTGTCCTTCCAGTTTTAGCAGTGCTGCTATAACAGACTATTCATGTGTGTTTGAAGATAAAGGTTTTGTTTTTAATCTTTTGCTTATCATAGTTAATCTAAGAAAGGCAATACTAAAGGTATATTTTTTTCCAAAAATGATATTTTTTACTGCACTGATAAATATTGTGACATCTCTGTTCTTAACTCTTTCGCTGTGAGGGGAACTGTGTGCAGATTCACACATACCTTGTAAATATTTGTGTGTACTTCTGACAGCCAGGGATCTATTTTCCTTCCTTCCTTTCCTTCCTTCCTTCCTTTCCTTCCTTTCCTTTCCTTTCCTTTCCTTCCTTCCTTCCTTTCTTTCCCTTCCTTCCTTCCTTCCTTCCTTCCTTCCTTCCTTCCTTCCTTCCTTCCTTCCCTCCTTCCCTCCCTCCTTCCCTCCCTCCCTCATTTCCTTCCTCATTTCCTTCCTCATTTCCTTCTTCCTCTTCTTTCTTTCTTTCAAACAAGGTTTCCTCTTTGAAACAGAAAGCAATGGGGCAACAATGCTCAGCAAAAGCAAAGCTTATCCCACTTTCAGAACATAGCCAAGGAGTTTTTGCAGTGCTGGCATAGAGTTAAGTATTTAAGCCAATGTCTTTTGATTTTTCAGCAAACTGTTTGGAAAGGAATAAGACGGATAGAAAAGCTTTAGTCTGGAATTCTGATCAGAAAAGTTACCCGTCTATTTTATGGCATTTTTTCTTATGTTTTCCTTTTCTTTAAAAAAAAAATATATTAAAAATTTAAAAAGGCATTTTGCAGGCTTGCTTGCCTGAGCTCTAGGCTGGTTGGCGGCTGTTCTGGGAGTGCCTTGTGCTCCGGGACCGCTGGCTCCTTTGGAAGCAAACCCACTGATCAGGATTCTGGATTCTGATTGCTCCAATGGGTATCCCCTGGTACTGTGGGATACTTTTGCTTTTTTAAAAGAAGGATTTAAATACACTTACATTACGCAAACTGTGACCTAATGGCAATAATTACCTCAAATGTGGGCATTCATCCTGGTTTTAGCCTTTCTGAAATCAATGTAGCCAGCTTGAACTTTGATTCAAAGACTCTGAACTCCATAGGGGCGGAATAGCGATAAATGCCCACCCTGGTCATTGTTGCTTGAGTGAATTCTGAAGACAGTGAATCTTTAAAAAGAAAAAAAATTAAACCAAGGAATAGATTACTCTTTTATGTATTTTAATCAATTGTGATGTTAAAATGCACATGTAAGTATATATGTTTATAGCTACTGTAAAATGCTTTGGCCTTCTAGAAGATATTTAATGAGTCACATTTTAAACCAATATGAACTGAATAATAGACTGTGGCTACTTAAACAGTTTTCTGGCTACATTTTATAGTTATTACAGTGTTTTATAGTTTACATTTAAACTGGTACTTTTTAAGGGAAATCTTGTGTTTTTAAGTGACACCTTCAAAAACTCAGTACAGCTGCCTCTTTTTTAATTTTGCCCGTTAAAAATGGAAAAGTACAAGTGTGTTTTTAATATGTATATTCTGTTTTGAGATATAACATAGTGTTGGAAAGTCAGTCCAGAGATGAAGTAATCCAATGTATTCCAAAAATCTGATTGAAAAAAAACACTCCACCCGCTTTGAAGATTTAGTTCAACAGATAAGCTATTTGTTTGCTTGTTTGAATAACATGCTTTATCAGGCCTCCCTGGGTTGGAGCAGGGAGCACTGTACAAAATTCACTGTTCTGTGTTAAGATCCTCATCTGGATGAAGATACCCACATCAGGAGAATGAAGGATATTCGTAAGAAGGATTGTATTGTACTGTTGATAAATCATTAGCCAAACAAATAATTCCTGAGTTAGTGAATGCTTTGATTTCTTTGGGGGATGGGGGGGTGGGGGTTGTTTCTAAGTGTGTGTGTGTGTGTGTGTGTGTGTGTGTGTGTGTGTGTTTGTGTGAGCCACTCAGAGGCAACGCTGTAATTTGGCTTTCATCTGTTGACCCCTTTCTTACAAATGATGCTCACCACCACAGAAATGTGTTAAACCAGTAAACAAAATACAAAGTTCACTGACCATCTCCTTGTCAACTCTGTTTTCTCAGCACATGCCAGTCCCCATTAATGCTGTTCCCCACTGCTGCTACCCTGTACTTTGCATTTTGATATATCATATTCCCCACTCCCCGGTCTCACTTAGCTGTCAAGTTTCTTCTGTTGTCTTCTCTCATTTGGGTAATCAGTGAACATGATATAAATGTCTGCTGGGCAAAATGGTACTTCGAGGTCCCGAAAGTACAGGAATTGGCATGTAAAAATATGTATATGTACATTTGGGCTTCGGCTGTGGAGCTGGGGTGCCCACGGGAGGACTCCTTTCGTGTTTCCACTGTGCCTGAGGGGGTTGTATTTGTCCTCTCTGCAGAGGTGGTGGAAAGGAGCAATGGGCGATGCTTTGCAGCTGGGCACCGGTGCTGCTCCCAGTACAATCAGAGCCGTGGGGCCGGGGAGTGCAGCCCGCCTCCTCCTCCTCCTCCCTCGGCACCATTCCGGTGTTTGCCGTTCCTGCCTCGCCGGCCGCATTGCCAAAGCCATCAGGTGTCATACGGCGAGCCAGGAGTGCCAGCAGCACTGGGGCCAGCTGGAAAACATCCACCGGCCCTCACTGTGCACCACCACTCAGTCAACAGGCTTCACTGCCGCCGGCTCCTGCCGGCTCCCCTGTTCTCCTGGGCAGAGTCACACTCACCAATACCAGCATACTCAAGGAGACACAGAGTCTTGTTGAATACTTTGGCTTACAGCTTGTTAGGCAAGAAGGGGTTTCCAACACTGGCAACACACATCCCGTTAGATCTGTATGGTTACATACAACACCTCTGCCCTCAGCAAGGAAAGAAAGCGCTTCTGCAACGCTTCCACCTCACATGGTTACATACAACACTTCTGGCTTTTCTTTTTCCCTGTTATCCCTTGTGTGTTTGATTTTTTAATTTTCTCTATATATTTTTTACTCTATATTCTTGAAACATAACTTCCACAGATATTCCAGGGCACAGCCATTTCAGGTGTAAAAAAGGATCTCCACATCCCATGTTTCACCAACAAAGCAATCAAAGCGTTTTGGGTACCAGATTCTACTTGGGCAGAACTAGAATGTAGCCTGTATATTTCATACCAAATCCAATTTATGAAAGGAGAGGAAGTGTCATTAATAGCTTTAATAAAGGAGTGTGTGTGAGAGAGAGAAAAAGAGAGGGAGTGAGAAAGAGAGAAGAACGAGGGGCATCTTGGAAGGTGAAAAGTCTAGTTTTCAGGTAGTTAAAAATGAACCAATGGGTGAAACATTTTTTTAAATGAGCTGTAAAATCCTTTTAAAAACAGAAGGGGTGAAATGGAGAGAACATTTTATGCCTTTCAACTGCCCACGAGCCCAGCATACTCTGGATGGAAAGTGGAAGTTAATATACACTGCACCAAAATTATGAAGGGAAGGTGGGGGCAGAGCTGTGAAACACTACTGCAGTCACAAAGGAAAAGATGCCCCTGCCCCAGCTCTGGATCTCAAGCAGTTCTTTCTCTACAGTATCATCTCAGCCCAGTAACCCCACAAAAGCCCTGAGCCGTTGTGTTCCTTCACTGTACGGTTTCTGTAATAAGAGTGTTAATCCATGTTAATCTTTGTGAAAATTCTTGTGTGCAACAGTATTTTATTGTGTACTGCTTTTTACCTATGTGAATTGTCCCTTTCTGTTTTCTTTTTTTTCTTTCCTTCCTCTTTTTTCTTTTTTTTTCTTTTAGTAATATGTCTTTCTTCTTTTAAAAGAAAAAACAAAAACAAACTGATGTGTTGTAGACCTATATGTAACCTATTCCTTAGTCTCATATTATAGGTATGTTATAAGAATGGATATTTTACTTGGCTTTAGAATGTTTTACAAGAAAACTAATTCTTAACCAATCAAGTTCTTGCTACTAAAAAAAAAAAAAATGCTTGTGTTTTTCATCATGACGTTGTGTGCTTCTAATTAATAATCATTTTCGTTGTAGAAAAATGGAGTGAATTTATATTAGTCTTGGAAACTAATAATAGCATTGTAAATTTATGAGATGATTTTAACAGAAAATACATTATAGAAGAATATAGTTATTTTAATTGTAATATTACTAACTGTAGGGTGAGAAAGGAGGTCCCGTTGTGGTGAACTATGTTATAGCTTGTTATTCACGGTTTCTTTTTGATCATTTTTTCGGTCTCTGAGGTGAAACGAGTTATTAATCAGAATTTGTCAACTCACATATGCATATTGTATATGTGTAGAAATGTAATCACACTTTGTCTTGGAATTACATTAAACTGTTTTAAGTCACTGCAAAGTTTGTGTGTCTCTGTCTTCTTGCTAGCTAAAGTTTGGTCTGAACATTTGGTTAGTTTTCAGATACTATTATTTATTCTCCTCAGTCTGTTGAAAAAAAAGAGCACTAATAGTATCATTAATAATAAATAGTCTTCTTTTTGAGGTAACATGTTTAGATTTGTGAGATGTATTTTTTTCTCCCAGGGCAGAAGAGCATCTGCATTCAGATGCTTCACTGAAGCACAGGAGGCTGCTTAGAGCTGCTGTGTTCAGCTCAGTCGAGAGCTGCCTGCTATATCCCACTGTGCCAAATGGAGTGTGGTCATCAGCTGCAAGTACAGGTCTTGATTTTCTTTTAGCCTGAGCCCTCAGTTCATTTGTTCCCTTTCCTCTCTTTGCCAAGTCCCACCTGACCTTTGGAAGGCTCATATAGACATTAAAATGCTGAAACCACCATGTGTTGGCAATTGCCATACCTGCCTTTTTGGGCTGTGCCTGATTGTTACCAGGAGGTCTGTACAAGAGCAAGCTGGAGGCATCTGCAAAGGGTCTCCTATTATACCATAGTGTCACCTTGGAGGAGGCCAATGGCTCCTCAACAGCTGCTCTTAACAGAGGGAGAATAAGACCAGCTTGGGTTTGTTGCTGACCTTTCCTGATGTGGTGACTCCTACACAAGCCTACTGGGTTTCCAGCCCATGGGGTTCATCTTGTTAGGTCAGCTCCTGCCTTCTTAGGGATAGCCAGAGGGGTGCTCCAGGAGTTGCCCATGGTCCAGGGTCACACTCTGTGTTCAGTGTCTGGCAAGTGGCTTCTGCAAAAACTTCTGGTAACTGCTGGATGGCCCTGCAGGACACTGCCAGACGAGGGGATTGCCTCAGGATGCAAACCTGGAGTTAGCATGGGAGGCTCATTTTATCAGTGAGTACTGGCACCTTAGTTTTACAGCCTCCTGCCTCATGTTTCCTTGAAATAAGCAGGGAGCACTGCAGAAACTGTTGTGAATTTCTAGGTGGATATGAAACTTTTGGTAGCAGGAGGTCATGGACCCTTTTCTCCCCACTCCCTTAAACTGGTTGAGACCCAACTGAGCAATAACAGTTAAAACTCTGTCTGTCCAGCAAAGCAATTAAGTCAGTGTTTAATTTAAAATCATGTGTCCTATTAAACAGCTAACAGGTAATTGCAGTGTGAAGTACTCTACGAGAAATGAGGAGTTTACTTGGTCATTGTATGAGAGACATTAGTGAATGATCTAATGTCAGCAACAGATGTAAATCCAGAAGAGATAGCTTAACTAGTGTAGTTGCTCCATGTGTGTGTTGTCTTATGGTGTCTTCTTTATTTGTTTCTTCTTTTTGTAAAACTTATCAATAAAACTGTAAAAAAAATTTGTCACTCTGGTGTCTGAGACCAAAACACATTAAAAATGCATTGTAGTTGGAGAATGTACTTTCTGACCCTTTTTTTTTTCCCAGGAGGGGAGAGCAGCAGCAGGGTTTCTCTTAACAGAGCCTGCAATGCCATGTGAGAGGAAACAGTGAGGGGTTCAGCCACCATATAAGAGGCTGGGTAGGATCTTCTCAAACCACTGGAGCTGCAGTAAATGTCAGCACCTGGAGACCACAATTCTGAGCAGATGGTACAAGTTACCACCAACAAACTTGAGCAAATCGAGCTCTTTCTGGGCCACAAGGAATCTCTGCTGATGCTTTCAGTGTTCACCTCAGCTTAACTGGTTTATTCTAGGTGGGTATAGCTCTTAAAATTGGGAAGGTGGGGGTGCCTTACGGATGTGGTGTATGCACAGTGGTGCTGCTGTTCCTGGCATGTGCTGCTTCTGCTTTCCAGTGCAGTGGCTATGTTTTAATTCATTGGAGTCTGAAATTTGGCACCTAAATTAGTTTTTATACATATAAGAAGAGCTTGTCATAGGTACAGTGCAGCTCTGCCCTCCTGGTTACCATTCATGTCAAATTAAGCTGTTAATGGGAGTCTGGGAGAAGGAGAATGATCCTGCTCTGTGAAACACAGGCTGCTGTGTTTTGGTCACCTGTGCACATGTGTTGGATCTCCACAGCAAACCCATGCTGGAGCAGTAGATCTGCAGTTTGTAAATTCCCATGTCTTCTCTTACTCTGCTGGTCAGGTCAGGCCAAACACGCCTGCATCAGCATTTTCTGCAATGCACTCTTTTCTTTATTTTTTCTCCTGCAAGGTGCAAATAATGGGCAATAAAGGCTGTTATTTAAAGGCCTCTGCACTGCAATATATATCAAAGGCTCTGCTGTTTGGGACTTTTGCTCACAAGAAGGCAGCCACAAGAGGAGCTCGATGCACAGATCCACACCTAAACCAGCAAAGCAGCAGTTTCAGGGACAGGAGCAGACTTCTCCTGGCAGCACTGCCAGCCCTGGGAACCCAGCATGAGCAGCACTCTATTCCCATGGGGACTCGTCACCCCTGTGTTAATGGTGCAAGGAGGTCCAGTAAAAAGGCACACCAGATAGCTTAAGTACACTTACCTCCAGTCTGCATTTGTCCACAGGCTTTTCTCGGCACGTCCAGACACCTGCATATGGGGTGCAGGAGGCTGCAAGTCCAGGAGGCATCTGGGACGCTTCCCCTTTGTAGTTAGTGGATCCTGCGATGAAAATTCTCATCCCCTCTTGACAGCCTGAAAAACCACAGAGAAGAATTCATGGTCCCACAAAGAGGGAAGCTGCTCCTGAATAGGACTTCCAACGACCAGGGTTTGGGGCACAGCTGCTGCGCTGCTTGAGAAAAGCTTGGTTTGGGGCACAGCTGCTGCGCTGCTTGAGAAAAGCTTGCTTTGGCTCTCTTGAGGTTGTTTTCTTCCATACCCAAATATCCTTGATCTGCCTCTCTCCTTCAGACATCAACAGGCCTCCTCAGAATTTTACAGAACAGGAGTGACAGGAACAACAAAGGCAGGTCTGGAAGGAGACTGCAGGAGGATCGATGAAGGTTCAACCACACTTCACCTGCATATGCCAGATTATTTGCCTGTCCTGTACCCTGTTTGTGACATGGAGATGCAGACGCCAGAGCTCTGCTCTCCTCTATTGGGTCTGCTGGTCACATTTCCCTGCTTTATCCCTGCTTTCTCTGGGTTAGGGATACCCCATCCTTTTTTAATTTATACCCCTGTCCTGCACTGATCCCATTTCCTCACCTCTCCCCGAGCTTGCTTTCCTTTCCCTCAGTGTGGTGCTGACCCGAGGGCCACGGGGAGAAGGATGCGGCATGTCAGAGGCAGCTGTGGGTAGTGGAGGGTGACGAGAAAAGCAAACCCCATAGGGCTGGGTTAGGGGTTTGTTAAGACTTTAAAATAATACCAGGAATGACGGTGTTTGCAGGTAGGTAAGAGCGGGAGACTGCCTCCCCTGACAAGATGAGTGAGGAGGTCTGGAATTACTGGGAATGATGGATAAAGGGGATGAAATGCTTTGAGAGTAGATACGAGGGGAGATAAAAGACAGCCGGGGGGGAAGCAGGCTGTAGGTTGAAGAAGAGTAGAAAATCGATGGGAAAGTGAAAAATTTTAGACGTTCCGAGTTCTGGGAGGGGGACTGCAGGGGAAGGTTGTATGCTCAAACCTGTGGAAAAATCTGGTCCTCTGGCCATCAGATTTTTCCATGCAGCCTATGGAGCAGCGGTCTTCAAAGTAGGTTGGACACACAGCAGTTCATGGGAGTGCTGGAATAAAGTGTTTTCCTCCCAGCTCTTTCCAGCGGAGCCTCCGGGCACGGCACCTCAGAGCAGCCGCTGGGCCCTGACGAGGCGGAGGGACCCGCCGGCCGCCAGAGGGCGCC